TAAAAGGATGCTGAAGAAAGAAGGATGCCTCAATTAATTGGTCAATTTTAAATAAAAAAAAATAAATCACATTTTAAAAATAAAAAATTCCACTAATTTAGCAATTGTATTTGATAAATCAAAGTATCATTTCTTAAAGTAAAATTCAATTTATTAATAAATATAAATGTATTTATAAAAATCCTCAACGTTATATTACTCGGGGTTCCGGCACATGAGCAGAAGAGACCAGAAAATTTTGACAATTTTAATTTGCATTTTAACACCTTTGAAAAAATAAATTCAGTCAAATTCAATAACAATCTTTTTTGTGTTAAAATGTTATATATAACAATTTGTATAACAAAATTCAATCAAATTAAGTTTTTTTTAAAAAAAATGATTTTTATTAATGATGTTTATTTATTATTTATAAAAATGGACAAGAAACTTGAATTATTGTAAGAAATGAGTTTTTTAGGTAGAGTGTCAAGTCACGATAAAGATGGTGAAATTAGAAGACTGGAAACGGAATTGAAAAGCAAACAAAAGGAAATTGACACACTTGACAAAGACAAACAAAATTATTTAGATGATATTAAACAATTACAAAAAACACAAGTATCACATGAAAAAACAATTGATGAAAAAAACAAAGAAATTCAAAAAATTCAAAATAATTTGATAAAAACGAAACATGATTTAATGGAGAATAATAATTTAGTTGAGCAGTTGAAAAAAGAAATTGAAATAATAAAAAAAGATAATTATTCTTGGTCTATTTATTTAAATGAAAATAAAAAAGTGATTGAAAAACAGAAAGAAGAGATCGAAAGTCTCAAGTCTCAACTCCAATCTTATAAAGACCGAGCCAATGATTACACAACAAAATACATTTACGAAAAGAAACGAGCTGATGATTTTGATAAAGTTTTAACAATTGAAAGAACCAATTTTAAATATGAAAAAGTTCAATTGAAAAAAAGAAACGAAGATCTTGAAGATATAATTAAACAACATCAAAACAGTTGTAAAAGTTTTGTGGAAAGTTCAAATGTAATCATTCAAAAAATGAAAAACGAAATCACTCAAATCACAAACGAAAAAAATAAATTGGAAAAGAATAACTCGGAATTGGCGTTAGAAAATATAAATATATGGAAAGAATTTAATGACTTGATTTATAAAATTGAGCAACAACAAAATAAAGAAAAAGAGTGGAAGAAGAATTTAAAAATTTCAAAGAATCAACAATTCGAAGCTCAAAAGAAAAAAGAAGAAATTATGACCATATTTGAAAATGATAATAAAGAGTTGATAAAGAAACAGATATTAAAACAAGTTGAAGAATTGGAAATAACTAAATATTACTATATTGATGCTAAAAATGATATAGAAGAAAAACTCGACAAAAACGAAAAGAAAATAAAAGAGATGAAATCTGAAAGAGATTGTGACAAGTCCACAATCACCAAACTTGAGAAAGAGAACAAGGAGTGTCTTAAAAAGGTTGAACTGTTGGAAAAAGAGGTTGAAGTGTATAAACAAAAAATCGAAAAAAGTCAAGAAGATTTAAAAATTGTTGAAAATGCAGAATCACAACAATCACACAACAAAGAAAATGTGATAAAAAATCAGAAAATAAAAATCATTCCACTTGAAGTACCAATGGCCATCTTCCACTTTGGCGGAACGTTCACACATATAATAAACGAAACCCCCATAGAAATTGCAATAGAAGCCGGCACTGCTGAGCCGCATACAATTATTTATGAGAAAGATGGAGTTTCACATACACTCCAAATAAGTTCGCAAAAGGTCGAAGGCACAGAGAAACGTGGATTCGACTTGATAAAAACTGTGTGGGTAGACAAACAGTTTGTTGGACAGTCAGTGACTATATTTATCAACATAGATATCTTAAAAGAAAATTACAATGTCCCCGTTGTTGTGCCTGATACACAGACTTCATACAATTTGGGAGAATTGGGATTCTTTAATAAAGAAACACAGAAAAGAGGAAACTTGGTGATGATCTTAAAAATCGTTTAATTGTGTTGAATTATATTGAAAGTGGTGCTTCGCAGTTTGTGAACTGAAGTTTTTTTCTATTTTTTTCCAAACTGAAAAAAATCACATTTAAGAACTTGATAATTTTTAATAGCTTTATCTCCACCTTTGGAATTAATTTATTCAAACAAAATTATTCAAAAACAAAATCATAAACTGTATAACTGAATCAAGTTTGAAAAAAATAAATAAAAAAACCCAAAACTTTGATTTTTTTGTTTTTACAAAAATTCAAATTGTGATCAAAAATGCATTTTAGTCAAATTTTGTAAAAATAGTTATTAAAGTAAACTGTCATAAAAACAAATATTATTAATCCTAAATAAATGGTGTTTTCAATTATTTACACAACAAATAATTGAAATAAAATAAATAACAACAAAGTTATTAACACATTAAAACGTTTAAATAAATTAATAACGAACATACATAATTTTTAATATACATGTATAGTTAAATATCATTTTAAGTTATATGATATTAATGACATTGTTATTTTCAAATATTAATTGAAACTAATGTGTTAATGAATACTGTTATTCAAAACCATATTAAAATATGGTTTTGAATATATATTTAAATGGTGAATAAATGATGACGTGGGTATTTTTGAATAAAAAAATTGAGACGCCTGTATATCACATGTCTATATAATATATAAATTGTCTGGTTTTAATTGAATTCCAATAATTATTTAATTGAACTTTTTATTTAATTAATTAATGATTTTAAACATTTGAATAATGTATAAATATTTTAATTTATAAATTGTAATTTAAAAATGATTTTTCATTGTAATATCTTATCGCCTGAAAAGGTAAATGGTTTTTAAATTAATAATTTGTAAAAATCGGTTACAAAAATAATTTTGAAATATTAAAACAATAAACAACTGTGAATATCAGAATGTCTCAACTAACTGGTTATCACATTATGATAGTCTCGAAGTACTTCGCAACTATCATAGACTTTATTAACTTGAAGTTAGTTTGCAAGAAGTTTGGTGGTAATATGGAGAAGTTTCATTTTAACCCAATTCCGTTAAATTCCAAAACGCTTGGATACTTCCCAAACATCGAGACACTTCATTTGTGGAATAAAAATGATGATAATTTTGGCAATAAATTTATGAACAACACAGAAGAAAATGGAGATTGTGAAAATAAAGGTGTTTTTAAAAAAGAGTTCTTTCGAATCATTGTGTGGTTCAATGTTGATTTTAAAACTGTTGACAGAAACAAAAATCGAAACATTGAGTTTAAAAATGTCACTTACACTCAAAAAGATAGAGAGGAATTTGGCAACAACATTCCACAAAACATTGGATCAATTGGTAATCAATGTTTCTATGAATGCAGTAGTTTGACTTATGTTTCAATACCATCAAGCGTTTCATCAATTGGTGATTATTGTTTCTATGGATGTTACAGATTGAGTAGTGTTACTATACCATCAAGTGTGAAATATATTGGTTATCAATGTTTCTATAAATGCAAAAGTTTGATTAGTGTTTCAATACCATCAAGTGTTACATATATTGGAATTCAATGTTTTTTTGTATGTAGCAGTCTGAATAGTGTTAACATACCATCGAGTGTAACATCAATTGGTGATTGTTGTTTTTATGAATGCAGTAGTTTAAGCAAAATTACAATACCATTTAGTGTAACATATATTGGTGATGAGTGTTTCAGTGAATGCAGTAGTTTAACTTATGTTTACATACCATCTAATGTGAAATCAATTGGTGATGGTTGTTTTTATGGATGTAATAATTTGAGTCGTATTACAATACAATCAAATGTGACAACAATTAATAATTATTGTTTCAGTGAATGCAGTAGTTTAACTAATATTTACATATCATCGAGTGTAACATCAATTGGAAAATATTGTTTTTATGGATGCAGTAGTTTAAGCAATATGACAATACCATTAAGTGTTGCATATATTGGTGATTATTGTTTTTATGGATGTAATAATTTGAATAGTATTACAATACCATCTAATGTGACATATATTGGTAATGGTTGTTTTAGTGAATGCAGTGGTTTAAGTAGTATTACAATACCATCAAGTGTTGCATATATTAGTGAGAGTTATTTCCCATCAAACACTGAAGTTCATCGAAGCAAATGAGATAATTTAATAATATTTCATTTTTGTTTATTTATAATTAAAATAATTGAAAAAATCAATTAAATATTTGCAAAACAGATTTTATCAGATTTTCAATAACACATGAAAAGTATAAAAATAAAGACCCATAAAGCCGGCCCCCTCCCCAACCACCTCCTGGGAACAGAGATTACTTAAATGTTAGATTGTGTAAAATGGTGAGTATATGCCACATCATTTGATGTTATTAATAATACATTTATATTTTGAAATATATAAAATTATGATAATAATGAAATATTAAAAAGAATTAAAAGATTCATCATAAAACTTAGGCTGATAATATTTGAAGTAAAAACGAATATAAAATAATTAAAAACTGGTAACAAAAGGTTTGAAATGCGTGTCAGATAATTATAAATATAAAAAAATAATTATTTATTTTTTATGTTAAAAAAGTGATTACAAAAAAAATTATTTGGTAAACAAAAAAATAATTGTATTTCTTTTAAAATATTCATATTTAAACAATTGTATTTCATATTAAAAATGTACTTTTTGATATTCAAACACATAGTTACCAATATGACAAGACATGGAATTATAAATATATAATTAACAATCATGTTTAATTGTAATTGTTAATGTAAATACAAATTAAAGAGAACAATTGTTTTTGACATATTTTTGATTTATGAATATATATTTTATATTTAGAATAGGTGTGAACATTTTTATTATGTAACTACATAAAAAATTATTATTTTACCAATAACTCATTGTTAATTTTAACATGTAAATAATGTTATTTAATATATATTATCTTTTCAATTTATTATGTCTAACCACACACATAAACAACACAATTATAAAAATGACATCACAACTGTTATTAGAATTGTGAAATAATAACATGATTAAACAGTTGCTTTTTAATAATTTTTTATGGTAATTAATATGAAATGATTTTTTCTAATACTTTAAATGTTCAGTGAAAAAACCAATTAAATTATTAAACATGTAATCTTTTGAGTGTGTAAACATTTAATTTCAAACTAAACAAATACAAAATTATTATAGTATGAAAAAAATGTGAATGGTTATTTTAAACAACTTGTTGTTCACACCTTTGTGTACATGTTATGAAAAAATAAATATTACAGTATCCAAAACGTGGGTGGATAATTTTTTATCCCATGATTAGTTCCCCCAATTTTAACAGAACATTCTTTTCACACATAATGTATTTTTTTGACTTAAAATAAACTAAAAATATAAAAAACAAAAACCACAAAACATGTTAAAGTTCATAATCAATTATTTTTTTGGTTTGGCGTTTTTGTTTGCCAAACTTTTTCTTAACTTCTTTTGCCTTTTTGTTAATAGCAAGCAGTTGCATTTTCTTTTTGTTTTATTTTCATTCAACTTTGGAGCACTTTGAAAATAACAATTGAGCGTATTTGAATTATCCGAAGTTTTAGTTTCCATTTCATTTATTAAATTCGATTGGCTTGAATTGTTCGTTATTGTTTGTTCAATACTTGATATTTTTCCATTTCTTTTTCTCCAATTATTACACAATTTATTTGTGTACTACTTACTATATTTTGAATTTCCTTTGAATTAATACTTTCAAGTGTTTCTCCTTCCGATTCAAAAAAGCATTCAAACGAGTTTTTCGAATGAAGTTTTGCAAAAATAGTATCTAACAACAATTCAATATTACAATTTATAATTTTATCAGTGTAAAACCGATTGACTAACATTTGAATACACTTTGTAGTGGTTTCTTACTTTTTGGATTTGTCATTTCAGTTTGAATTTTTATGTCGGTCTCATTTATAATGTCCAACAAACGATCGATAAATTTTCCAAAAGATGGTTTTGGTGTAAGAATGGTTCGAGAAAGAAATGCTGTGAAAGGATTCTGCTATATTGTTGGTGCGCATCATTGAATCATGGTGGCACCAAATCGAAATCATTACATCATTTAACCAAGTGTTTTCGAAATATTTATAAACAATAAAAGAATCTTTATCTTTTATACGTGATTGTAATATATAACATTGATGTTTTAAATCTGTTTTATTTTTCAAAATAGGAAGTGTCATAAGTCTTCTTACTTCTTTGGAGAATTGCCCATTACACTTATATTTTTCAGACAAGCCAAAGTTTTGAATTTTCCGCCACAAACATTGTGTAAAATGGAAATAACACCATTTCATTTGACAACTCAAACCTCTAATAGATTTTATAAAACCTGCCTCAAAATCGGAATATATTGTCAAATCGGTTCTATTAAAAATTGGAACACCAAATAATATCAAAGATATTTGATCAATAACAAATAATACTTCGTTGTATACTGTTGCATCTTTTTTATTTAACAAAACATAAAAACAAGAAAATGAAAACAAATCACTACACACAACATGAAATGTCACCAACTGATAATGGGTTGTTGGGCACCTACTAAAAGTGCCATCTACACAAATAACATTGGCGTATGTGGCTTTTTCTAACATTGATTTCGAACCAAAAATAATAATTGTATTGTCTTCGTTTCTATACAATAAAATGTCCTTTACTTTTTCACTTTCAAAATAATTATCAATGGTTACTGTTTTGTATAATTCATTTTTATATGTTCTTGCTAATCTACTAGACACACTCAGTCTTAAATTGGTGTTTATTAAACAATTTTTTACTATTTCTTTAACTGGTTTATATTTGTTTTTATCATCATAGATTTCTGTTCTGATTTTTTGTATTTCTTTCAATCTCTGAATATATTCCATGTGATTTGTATGACCATTCAAATGCTGTGGCTTTGGTCCAACAAGATAATTAACTTCTTCATCAACAACTTCTTTTACAAGTGTAATAGTTACTCCACAATCTTTACAACTATACCGTTTATGTGAAGAGTCTTTTGAATAAAAAATATAACCTTCAAAACAAGGTAAAAGTGTTCTTTTTGTTGAATAAACAAATTCAACTTTGTGTTCTTGAGTTGGACTGTCCATTTGTTAGTAATTTTAATTGTTATTTTTAGTTTTTTATTTGTTTTATATATAATTATCTTATGTTATAAACAGAAAACCTTTCTTTTTAACTTGTTTTCGAATTAAAAAATTATATCAATGTAAATAATTGTTGATTTAAATGTATAATAATATAAAACGATTTTGATTTTTGTATGTTTTTCG